AGACGGCTTCTTCCACGTCCATGCACATGTTTGCTACTCACTTCTCTCAAGTGTCTCAGTGTCACGATCCCTAAAAGTTTTTGCTCACATACTTCTACGTGAATCATTTCGTGAATCGTACTGTAATCCTCAGAAGGTTCAGAAACACAAGTTTTCTCGAAATGACTCCAGCTATTACCGCTCGTGATTACAAGTTGCTCTCTCATCCGTATGGAATATTGATTCATGTTCATAAAAAGGACCTACTGCCCTACAAGAGTGTCGGTTTCAGCCCTTATATAATTCTGGCAAGGCACCCTCACTCCCTCTGCCACAGAGACGAGAATCGATAAACTTATAGAATGATCCCCGGCGATGATTCAAAACTAGCATCGCCGTTAAAAAAGCGAGTAATGATAAAAGCTTTCGTTAGATTGGAGTGGGTAATTCGGGAAATATTAAAGTTCTTTCAAACAGAACACGAAAGGCAATAATAAGACCCCCCGGAATACGGCCGTCATCCAGGTATTCCTCCGGGAGACTGTGAAACAGTAATCTCAGATTAGGGACGAAGAGCTTTTTATTTTATAAACATTGAGTTTTTTGTTTCGAATCTGATTTGATAGTGATCTTTCGGGGAGTGCCACGAATTTGTCAAAAAACAAGTAATGATAATAATTTTCAAAAAGGGTTACTTGGGTAACAGCATCGTTTTTTCTTAAAAAAACAATTTTTTGTTTTTATCAGTTCGGACTTCCATTGTCTAATGTAATATAAATTGATTTGAAAACCCTGAAAAAAACAATTAAAACATTAATAAGATAAACCGAAAATAACAATTTTATTAAACAAAAAACTGCCAATGGGATCGCCACTTTCACCTGTTATAGCCAATGTATATATGGAGTGGTTTGAAACTCTGGCCATTGAAGAAGGCCACAAGAAGCCCCGAGTCTGGTTGAGATACGTAGATGATACCTTCATAATATGGAATCATGGGAATGAAGAACTAGACACTTCTCTGAAGCACATCAACAACGTAAGTCCTTCCATCACTTTCACAATGGAGAAGGAAGTCCACAACGAATTGTCTTTCTTAGACTTATTGGTGAAGAGGACCGACACTAAATGGGAAACATATGTATATCGAAAACCCACTCACACAGGACAGTATCTGAACCAGAAATCCAACCACCATCAATCGACTAAGAGAGGAATCATCAAGACTCTACTTGACCGTGCTTTTGGGCTCTGTAATACAAAGGAAGGTCTCGAAAAAGAACTAGGCATCATCAAAAATGACATACAACGGAATGGTTACTCCAGAACGATGGTAGAACAGGCCTTAGCTGAAACCAGTACTTGTACTCCCCTACATCAGAGGATTATCGGAAAGGATAGGAAGGATTGGGTCCAAGTACAACATCAGGACCTGCTTCAGATCTGGGAACACTATCCGTAGCAGCCTTACAAAAACCAGGCCACCTAACGCGGACTGCGATTTCAAGAATTGCATTTACCGGGTACCCTGCGAGTGCGGAGAATCATATATCGGTTAAACTAAGAGGCCATTGAAAGTTCGCATTGCTGAGCACAAGAAACACACACAGCGAGGAGAAATCAGCAAATCCGGAATAGCAGAGCATTTTTGGACTCATCAACATGGTATCAAGTGGACTCAAGCTGAAATCATTCACAAAGAGGAACACTGGTTTAGGAGAAAATTCAAAGAAGCCGCGTATATTTTGTCCAACAACGCATTTAGTCAAGCTGGTGTAGAAATACGTAACATATGGAAACCTCTAATCAAGAGAAAAACGACCAATTCCCGCCAAACGGTCATCTCCCGTTAAAAACCAATGAAGTGGAAAAAGTGAAGAGGGGATAGGTGAAAGCACTCGAGCGACCTGTAAATAGACAAATCTCGGAGAAATAAGTCCAGTTATCACCCGAAGACGATTGTGGATACTAACAATCGAAACGTCGTGACATAACTTGGTTTGAAATATTTCAATTTTTATTTTTAATTTTTTGTTAATAATAATTTTTAATTTTTGTTTTTCAGCTTTTATTAATATTTCAATTTTTATTTGTTTGGTTGTTGCTTGTATGTTATTTCTTTGTAATTTCAGTTTTTTGTTTAATAAAATTGTTATTTTCGGTTAATCTTATTAATTTTTTAATTGTTTTTTCTTCAGGGTTTTCAAATCAATTTATATTATATTAGAGAATGGAAGTCCGAACTGATGAAATACACCACGAAACATTGTTGAATTTATATAAATTCTTCTTCTAACAAACGTTTGTTTCACGTATTTGTTACTGTTTCGAAAGTTTCATTCATTCAGTGTTTTTTATTGTATCTGAAGAAGAATTTGATTAAATTTGCATAGTTGGCAAGAAAATAATTGTTTTTCAAGAAAAATTGATCCCATCACCCAACTAAAATTTTTTGAAACAATACCAGTTGAATAATAATTATGACTTGTTGTAAATAAAAAAATTGGGAAAATAGATAAAATAATAGATATCCTTTTTCAATTTGTCGTTTAGTAGAAGAAGTTCAGGTCTATGGATTTTTAAAACGATGAGTACGGTATTATCAGATACCAGAATTGCTTTGGTGAAATACGAGGTTTTTACCTGAAAAAACATTTGATATTCAAACCCAAAAGTACAACGAATAACTCCTTTTTTTCTTTCAAATTATTCATTCGTGACCCCGATGAGTACCATTAATGCATTTTATAGCACATCGAAGCCAAGAAGTTAATTCGATGATCATTTTTTTTAACAAGTAGTTCATATGTCTTGACAGATTAACAAAAGAGTCAGTTGCAAATAAGACAATCGTATTTTGTGAATTTTTCTAAAAGTCACCAAGTTATTGTTCTGGAACGATGGTGAAACAAGCAAGGAACATTACCATATCAATGAAAGGGGAGGTAACTCGACTCAATTCAATTTTGATTCATTTTTGATGGTGTCGAATGTTAATTGCAGAATTTCTCATTTTACGAATCAATGTACGAGTTAATCACTGGCCGCGGGGAGCTATTTCACTGCAATTGGGATCGGTTTACCAATAATTTACAGGATTCAATCAATCAAATGGCCAATCATGCAATTTAAAGCCGAATATTCGCATCATGAATTGGAGATTTGTCAGTCGTAAACTACCTTTTTCGAAGCGAATGAAAAATGCCAAGATTCATTATTAAAATTATAAAACGTGGTAATTACGTTGACGTATATGCCGATTTGATGTCATTGAACAGGCATTATGGAGAAAATTATTCATTACCATTGGCCAGTGCACGACATGTGACTTTTTAAAAAAGTATGATGCAGGCCCAATAATATTAAGAGCGATTTACCGTCACTCTCAAATCGACGAGTGTTTACAAATACATTATTTTTACTCTCCCATTTATCTCCTCAGTGGCTTCTCATCACTCGCCAAATAGTAAGAAGGGGCACGTTCGACTGTTTGTCCTGTTGACAACTCTATCCATTAGATGGCGTCCGGCCGCAAATATCAGATGTCCGCGGTCAGTCGAGGAATCGAACCCTATTTGATTTATTAGCTTCATTTCCGGCAAAATATACTGTCATACTTCTTATATGCGGCTCATACGCAACTCAATTACAGAGACGGTTTCTCTTATTTGATAGACTTAGTTGTTCTGGGTGTTCGTCTCTGTATTGGATTTATTGCTTGGACATAATTAGATTGGTGGACGGCTGCAGTGAGAGGCTCCCCTGATTGATGAGATGATTTATGGAGAGCCGATAGGAAATATGTTTTGGAGATGTTTGGGGAGATACCTGGAGACATGATTATAATGAATAGTGTTCTGTAAAAGTTCTCATCGACAGGGTTGCCACTTCAATTTGAGCTTATTCTTTTTTACATACTGGCATTTATCGAAACTGTTGTTACATAGAAGAACATTTCATGGTCAATTTTAAGAGTTACTTTCATTAGTAACATTCCACATTTTCTATGAAATTCGTCTTTTCACAAGCAATGATTGTGCTAAACCGCCGTAAAGTAATGAGGCTGCTGTATTAATCTAGACCTTTTTTTGTTTGTCTGTGTATTGATTCTTTAATCTCTAAAACGAATCCTAGATATTTCACGAAAATTATACAATTTATTAAACTATAACTTAAATTATACCACTGACTTGGGAAATATCGTTACAGTTATGTATCAAGGAAAGAAACAAATAAAAATATATAAAACGAAGCCTATTTATGAACATTTCCCGAGATTGCTTAAAAAATGTTCTACTTGGCTTGGTTATTCTTTCACAAAAATATTTTCCTGTTGATATATTTCTAAATCAAAGTGAATGATATATGCACGATTTTTTATTTATTGCAATATTTCTCTGGCCCGCATTTTTAGATTCAAAGGACATTCAGAAGGATGACAACATTGAGAATATTGAACAAGGAATACTCGTATCACTAGTCCTCAGTTTAATTCTAGAGGTGCAACTCACAAAGTTGAAAAATTGAATATGTTTTATCAAGTTCTGACTTAATTTTCGAGTTGACTGACTTATATTTGTGTATTATCAAAAAAGTTTCTCCAGCATAAAACAATTCAACTGAAGTTGTTTCAATGAATAATTTTCCAGGATAATATTGAATAAAAATGGAACTAAACCATTCAAAATTATTTTTTGTCAAGTAATTCAATTGAGTAATTATATCATGAATCTCTAGTACTCACCTGTGATAGCCAAACTGTGAAAATGTTATGTGTATGAATGTTATAATGGATCTGAAATTTTTTCAAACATAAGGAAGTTAACGTATTTTGAAAACATTATACTTTACTGTGAATTCTTTTGGGTTTCTGAGTGTACTTTTGACCGACAAATTTGTATTTTCTGACAAAAAGAATTTTGAAACCAGTAAAAAGACTTTAGAAACTTTTCCATTTCCTCTCGTATTATATTTAGTTTTCACCTTGGTTTTTACAACAGTAATTCTCTACTATTTTGCAGTTCCAGGCCCGGTCGTCCGCCAAAAAGGGCTCCCGTAGGGCTGAGTTTAGCCGCCTCCCATTTACAGCACCAGCAGCTCAAAAAACAACGGATGGATAACGGGGAATATCCATACGAAAACGGACACATGGGTGGTGAGTTTTTTTCATATATTTTATTGTGTGAATATAAATATGGCAACTTATAATCAACAGAATCAGTCAGTACATTTTTAAAATAATGACATATCTGCCATTTGAATTTTCATGAACAGGCAATATTGACATTCAAAATTCGAAGTAACATTATGTACATTATTTTGTTTTATTGCAAAATACCTTTGATTTGATAGATGAATGCTCATTAATGAGTTGATTTAAGATTGTCAGTGAGTTCCTCTCTTTCACAGGCTGTCGGAATTGACATTTCAGTGGATAGTTACATGAAGTAACAATACAACCAACGACTCAGGATGAAAACAAAATAGATCCTACTATATTTCCGTTGGAAAATACGTTGTACCGCTGAAGAAGATTAGGTTCTTGTGTGCCCTAGGAAGTATGTCAAAGTACCATCTTTCTATGAACTTTCTGCATTTGAAGTTCTGTCTCGTTCACATTTATTTGCGATTATCACAATATCACTCTTTTTCAATTTATAAAACTAATCAAACCCTGTTCTGCCTGTTCTGTCATTATTCAACAATGACAATGACAGCATATGCAGAGAATGCACATAAATATCAAAATTATGCACAAAAAACTAAAAACAGCAAACCAAAAACAATTAAAAGCAATTCACAAACAATTACAACCCATCTACAAAAAAAAAGATACCAACTTGAAAAAAACACTTAGATACACCATAAACAACCCACGACGCAACACACTTCATCCACCTCCTAACACCTCAGAGAAACCTACCAAACCATCAGCAAAATCTAAAAAAGCACTCCAAAAAAAAAAAAAAGAACAAAAAAAAAAAACAAAAAAAGATACAGTAAAATAATTTGGTTACAAACACAAGTATATCTGCCCCAGAAAATCAAAACGATGTTTATTTCAATTACAGGAAAGACGATGAGTAACTTCGTATATAATATTCTGAAGAGTATCTACCACGTCTTCTCTAAAAATCCTGACACTAAATAAAAACTGCTTTTCCTAAATTTGTTTAAGTTTGTTTGTGCTTTGAAAGAAATTTACTTATACGATTTTGCTTGAAATAACATTTCATAATATATTTACATGTTTCATATACAAAAGTCATCACAAAAGAGAATGTGATCAATCTTTATTTCATCTATCCCTTTGATGAATTTTCCACAACTTCTCATTACCACAAATTTCTCACAAATTATAAAGGAGTGTTGAATAAAAACATCTATTAGAAAAAAATTGTTGCCTTTACGGTTATTAAATTGTTTATCGTTATGTGTAACTGTGAGTTCCCATTTGAAAAACAACTAATCAAAACCATGCCTAGTAACCGCAATTCTTCAGGTACTGAAAATACTAATTGAAAAATAAATTACTCACAAAAAGAACATTTTTTCAATAAGTAGTAATGATCAAGTTGGAATGAGCTTGACAAATTATTCAATAACAATAAACTCAACACGCGTGGTATTAACAGCACACTCTTTGGAGGTCAAAGCCGTAGCAAATGGCAACGACCAAACGACGTCATGAATATTCCGGTAGTTTTTGTAATGAAAGAAGGAAAAAAAACAATTGAAAAAACCCGAAAATGGTCCGTTTCCCCCGGTTCCCAAACCGGAATAAGGATTTTTGCGACTAACAATCCAGTATATTATAGATTTGAGGGTCTAATGATCACCATTGTTTCAGTTTCGTTACGTCAAGAGGCGAAATTCTGAACAGTTAATTGGTAAAGAAATACATTTCATTGTTATTCAATACGAATTTTTTTCAATTTTCGGGAATACTGACACTGGGTTTAACTTCCGAATTGACAATCTTTTTCACTATAATAAGTGACACTTTATACTAATAGTACCTTTTGTATAGTAATAATAGTAATAGTACAATTGTGGAGAACTATCTGAAATGTGTTGTGAATGCTGAATAAAAAAAGTGTGACACTTGCACTTGAATAAAATTATTGTATCCAATTTTTCAGAGATAGAAAAATACTCAGTAAAATGTTTGATATAGCTTCTTACTTTCATGGATAGATTTAACTATTTGAAACTTTTTGAGTATTGTCATGAAGAAATAAGTAAGAAATATACATCTCTCTTTCAATGTCGTCGAAATCGTTTATTTCTTGACAGTTTTTTGGTCATGGCATATTATAAATGCACATCCTGTATTCAAAACGTAATGTGAGTATGTCAAGAGCTATGGCCTAGAATTTCAGTGATTGATGTAGAACTCATGAGTAATAATGAATAGTGCTGACTAAGATCATCCAGCAAATATTTTGAACCCCCTTCAGGAAGCTGTAATTTATTTGGTTCTCAAATAAAAGTAGTGAAATTTCAAGCCGCGACAGTATTATAAACATGAAACTTTTTGTCGTATATCATAGTGAAAAGATGATATTCGAACTCACAAATTTCTAAAAAAATTAGTGCAGTAAAATTTGGCGGAGGTGCAAGTTATGCAACAGTTACTTTGACTTCAATATGGCGCACGACTCAAGAAGACGGACAAGTTTTTTATGAACCTCTATGACTTGGATAACTGAAGAGTTTGCTGAAAAGAATCCGAAAAATGGAATAACATATGCCAGACTTACAAAAATGGTACACTTTATGTAAAAGTGTTCAAATTGATGAAAACCTAAGTGTCGGAGTACAAGATACCAATTTTAAAGTGTAAAAGTTAGACAAAGATTAGGGATAGTCTGCTGGTGCTCGAACTGATGTTGTAGAGATCCATCATGTAATTATGACATATTGAATTAAATGAACAGACTGCATATATGTCCAGCGATAACTAAAAAATAAAAAAAATTTAAATAGCTGAAAACGTTTTTTAAAACAACCTTTTAACATGCTCCAAAAAATAAGTTTTGAATTGTAAGAAAAAAAAATGTTTTTTCAAACAGATATATGTCGCTACAAGTGCTTTTAAACATTAATTTTTTCTAGTGATTTATTTAAAGAGGAGATTATGTTACAATGATCATTAGGAACCTTTCTTGCAGTTCTTTGCCTGCGGTTCCTAATTGACAAATATTTACAGTCTGCTATTGTTCGCACGCCAATGCCCGTAATCCTCGAAAAATGCGTGTAATAATTAGAAAGGCAACCGGCAGCTCATAAACAGTCCTGACCACAAACGGTCTATACCCGGCACTTAGCCGGTTCAACTTATACAAGTCCGAAATCATAGCAATCCAACTAATTTCTAATGAATAGTCTCCACAAATCGTCCTGGAATGACATGCACCTTTCGGACCAAAAGCGGGCCTCGGGCGTTTTATTATGGCCTGTATAATTTTCCTTGGATCCCATTTACAATTTGTTTTGCGTTTAACGCACTTATCTCGATGACTTTAAACGTTTGATTATAGCAATTTCGAATAATTCGAGCTATTATTATTTGGAATTGGTTAAATTATTGTTTATAAATTTATCGTTTAACGCCGAGTCGATATTTTGGTCCTTTTTTCATCAAATCGGTCGCAGCGAGTCGACCGATCTATGGATGATCATTGATTATCCTTTTTTCGAGCAGGTAATTCTTGTTTATGTGACCCTGAGGATTACCACATTGAATTCCCTGCAAAGTATCCACTCGAGTTGTGTGATGATTTTGAAATATTAACGAGTCTTTATTCTAATTATTATTGTCTTACGCTCTTTCTTTGACGACTTACACCTGCAGTTGCTTGGGAAGAATATTGAAATTGAAAAACCGTTTTTTCTATATTTTTGTTCTCTATTCGTTTGTGTCAAAAGAGTAATTAAAAACTGAATGTGGTGCACATAAAAATGATGTTAATGATAGTGACCTACAGACAAAACGTTGGATATGTATATACATGATAAATTTTCTCTGTTAGAAAATCTGCGGTCGAGGCAAACAAAATCGCGATCAAAAACTAGTTTTAAATGGAATTCGTTGGAAATTTGACAGGAAAGTGCCCGGAAAACATCCATCCTTTGCCGGAATAGTATGATGAAACATTGTCGGTGGCATAAAGATCTCAACATCGTTCTTCCATTGGGAAATTGTAACGCGTCAAATAAACGGATAAAATCAAATTATATTTATCATGTTTTATGACATCAATAAACGACCGAAGCAATGTTTATAAACTCGAAGACGGAAAAGTGAATTTAATAAAACTGACGTAATTACGTGAGATCTAATAAAAGGATGTGAATCACAGAATCATCAAATGTAATTGGTTCTCTAAATGAGACTGAAACGTCGTAAAAAGCGGCCGAGGAAGTGTTTATTTTATTCCTGTAATAATCCCAGTCTTTAGCGCTCGTATAGAGGAGATTACTTCATATTTGATGAGAAAAATATAAAATCTCGAGTTGTCGGCTGCCTAAGAGAGTTATCAAGAAAATTGGGTGTTTTTTATCTCCTTGTCCAGCAGGGGACATGAATAGCTGTTATTATTATCCAGTTTAAGTGAACTGCTTTCTAAGCGCCTTCAATATCTGATTAGCAATTAATCATCGAATCAAATCAGCAAACTAATCAATGGTATAGGGATAGAGATGCGATATTTCATTTTTGTTGTTTTCAAAACTCCATACATGTCATGTTATTTCCAGCTAAATATCTCAGTGTATTTCACATTTTTAGCTTTGTTTATTGTATTTTGTTTAAATTGTGTATGCTTTTTTATGTAGATTTTTGTATCTTACATATTATTTATGACTTTGTCTACAAGATGTAGTTCTTCAGACAATAAAATATATTTGATTGATTGATTGATTGATTGTTATTTTACAATTTGTCAAGAATTTTGAGACACACCTCTAGACGCAACGTCAACATTCTTGATAAAATTAGTAGTTTTTTCATTTCAGTCATAGAGAGTCATGAAGGGAGCACTTCTCAAACCATAAAATTGGATATCAATGCAAGTGGAATAACAAAGGCAGCATTTCAGAAACTTGGAAAAATATTTTGAACAAAGAAGTTGTGGCCAGAAAATCGTCCTT